CACGGTAACGCCCCAGGAGCCTCCGACCGAGCCGTCGACAGCAGAGCTTCCTGTGGGGTGGCCTGCTGCTCCTCCTCGCCCTCCTCACCGTCCAGGATCGAGGCTCGGGGGCCTGCGCTCGCTTTCGACACCGGCTGGGCCTCTGGAGACCTCTCGTTGTCCCTTCCGGCCCCCGGACGTCTGGCCTCTCTCTCGAGCAGAGATCGGCACGGCCGGCTCCTCGCGTCTTCGGACCCACCGAGGTCTGCTGGCTCCAGGACCATCCAGAACACGACCCAGGATGAAAAGTTGGCCCTGGGACAGGGGCCGGGATGGGGACGGGGGGGGGGGGGAGGAGGAGAGGGTCGGGGAGAGGTTTCTGGCAGGTGAGTCCCTGGCTCTCGGTGGCGCGGAGGGGTGTTCAAGAGGTGCTACATTTCAGTCGGGCGCGTCCCCCTACAGAAGGATTTTTCAAACATAGTCAAACAATAAAGTGGGGACGTTTTTTTTGGAGTATTTGTTTGACCATTTTGATTTTTTGGTTTGAATACAATTTATGTTTCGTCGGAAATCGGCCTGTAGGGGGACATGCCCAACCGAACGCTAGATGGACAGGGCGGCTGGGTGGATGGGGAAACTGCCGACGCCCGAGTGCAAGCGACGGCGGACGAGACCCACGGCACCGCGACAGCTTCGGTGGAGGACCTGCCGGGAGCCATGCAGAGCGACATCAGGGCACGGCGCTGCCGAAAGGGCTCCTGGGCTTAGGTCGGGCATGGAGGAATGTTCAAGAATAGTGAGAGAATAGTCTGGGGACGTTTTTTTGTAGTTGTTGATTATTTTGGGGGCATTTCTGGAACATTTTTCGTTTTTCGCTCAGACTCCGCCTCTAGAGTGGCATGCCCGACCTAATCCTGGGCTCGCCCTCCCCTCCTTAGCTGCGGAGGCATCGCCCAAAGTGTGGGCGCCTGGATCGAGCAGCCCTGGCGCCACCTATATTCGGAGGATGCGAGCACCCCGTTGGTGAAGGTCGCTTCCCCCAGGCGGTCTCGCAGGCGTCGGCCGGAGTGCACAGCCGGCTGGGTCGAGCAGCCCCGGCGACGACAAGCCGGGCGGTGCCAAGGTCACTGAGATCAAGGTGGGCCATGCCTTCCTCGTCCCCGCGGCGTCCAGAGAGGGCCCTCGCGATGCCGAGCCACAGCATCCGGTCGGTGTGACCATCAGTGCACCCGTTGGAGAAGGCCCCAGTAGCGTTGACTCTGATGTCGTGACGGGTGTCGGTGCATCTCGTGAGGAGTGGCCGATGCAGTTGTCAGCGTAGCTGCACCCGTGATGTGGAGTCAGCTCTCCCAGGCAAAGTGTGTGTGTGTGTGTGTGTTTGCGTGCGCGTCTGTGTGTGTTTTCGCGCTCGCCTGTCGCGCCGTTGTGAGCTCATCGGGGCGGGGAGCTCGCGGGCGCGGTGCCAGAATAGCCAAAGCCTGAGGATGAGGCCAGTGCTGGTCTCGAAAGGGGCTTGGTCTTCTCCAGGCCCCTTGCAGCTTTTCCCCCACAGCTGTCACGAGGGTCACGACGGTAGAGGGAAACAATTAGTGAACACCCCCCCTGCCCCCCAAGCTCAAAGTTGGCACGCGGGGGGGAGACTGCGGTCGAGGTGCAACTCATCAGACCCACCGCCAACTTTGAACATTGGGGGGAGGGGGAGGCGTTCACAGATGAATGTGGCATGAGTGTTCGCTATTTTATGCCGAGGCCTGGAGCACGCCCAGCTTTGGAGGAGAGTACCCGCCATGTTCTTCGTGCTCGGGCCTTGCCGCCGTGGCGTGCTCCTCGTCCGGCGCACCTCCGTGGTGCCCTGGGCTTTTCGGGCTGGGCGTTCGGGCAGGGATACAGTCGGGGCCCGGAACAAGGAACCCTTTTCGTTGGGGAGGGGCTCCGCGTTCCTGAAGTGTTTCGCAGCTTGCCTCAGGATTTCCTTATGTTTTCGACAGGAAATCGAAGTTCAACTTATGGAAAAGAGGGGCCTCGTTCCTTATTTAGAGTTCCTTAGGTCAAGGCCCCGACTGTACATCATTCCAGAGGGTCCCGGATACGCTCGCAGAGCATTCCGCGACGCTCTGAGAGGGTCATGCATCGGCCCTCGGAGATCCTCGGACGTACCCTCTTCCCATCTGGTCCCTGCCCTGGCCTCGTCGTGGCCTGCGGCGCCACGGGGCTCGTGCTCTCGGCCCGCGCCTTCACGCTGCTACGTCTTCGGCCGCGGCTCTCCTCGTGCATCTGGGCGCGACCGCGGCCCAAAAAGGGGCTCGAAGCCCCTGCTTCAAGTCAGGAGGGGAACAAACACACAGACACAATGACTACTACACATACTGCCACTATTACTTCTACGACTACTACTACTACGATTACGACTGCGACTGCCACTACTACTACTACTACTACTACTACTACTACTACTACTACTACTACTACTACTACTACTACTACTACTACTACTACTACTAACTACTACTACTACTACTACTACTACTACTACTACTACTACTACTACTACTACTACTACTACTACTACTACTACTACTACTACTACTACTACTACTACTACTACTACTACTACTACTACTACTACTACTACTACTACTAACTACTACTACTACTACTAACTACTACTAACTACTACTACTACTACTACTACTACTACTACTACTACTACTACTACTACTACTACTACTACTACTACTACTACTACTACTACTACTACTACTACTACTACTACTACTACTACTACTACTACTACTACTACTACTACTACTACTACTACTACTACTACTACTACTACTACTACTACTACTACTACTACTACTACTACTACTACTACTACTACTACTACTACTACTACGACTACGACTACTACTACGACTACGACTACGACTACGACTACTACTACTCATACTACTACGCATACTTCTACTACCGCTACTGCTACAAACTCTAGTTCTACGACTACTAGTACTACGACTCCTTCTTCTACTAAATACTACTATTACGATTACTGCGCCGCTATTGTTACTGACGGTAGCAACCGTACTACTACTACGACTACGACAGAATGAATGGGAACATATGGGAAGTGGGCTGGAGCACAAAAACCCAGAAAATATGGGAAACTATGGGGAATATTTTTATTTGTGTGTATTCATTTGTGTGTCCTGGGGCCCCTTCATCAAGGTTCCACCGTGGCAGGACTTTTGGCCGTACATCTCCCAACCCTCCTGCGCTGGGCTCTCGTCTCGAGAAGAGCACCGCGCGCTCCGTCACCTTGCCTCCCCTCCTCCTGTGCCTCCTTCTCTTCCTCCTCCCCCCTCCTTCCCTCTCCTCCCTCTTGCTTGCTTCTCCGCTTGCTCTGCCTCCTCCTCCCTGCCGCCCCCCATGCCACTGCGGCAGAACTGTGGCTGCACAGTCTTACCCCCAGAGCTTGATCGACAGTGTGACGTCGCCCCCCCCTTGGTGAGCTACTCGTGCTCGAGTTCTGCGCTCGCCCTTGGCCCCTTTCCTGGATCCATGGGCCCTCCGGGGCGCCTGTGCTCTGTTCCTTCCTGGCGGCGGCCTGGGTCCCAGATCGACGAGGCGACGTGCGGGACGGGCAGGGGGTCCGAGATCTGGGGCGATTGCTGGTCCTGGGGCGCAGGGGCTTCTCCATGGATGGGGCCACGAGAGGGAAGGCTGGGATCATCCGGGGGCACGAGAGGGAGGCACGCTCTGTGATCTACGATCTGGAAGCACGAGAGGGAAGGCTCCAGGGTTATCTCCTCTTGTTCTTCTCTCCTCCTTCGTTGTCCTCCTCTGCCATCCCTTTCCTGTCGTCCCCCCTTTCTCCGTCCTCCTCGCCTTCCACCCGCCTTCCTCATGAGTAAGCCCTCCTCGTCGCGTCGCCAGACGTGCTCGCAGGGTGGGCTGGGCGTTTCGCCCGAGGGTTCCCCACCGCTCATGCTGGTGAGGCTTGACCTTTCCAGCTGTTGCACGGATGGAGGGCGGGGGGGGAACGAAGAGCGAAGAAGGGAGGAGGGGGGAGGAGAAGGGAGGAGGAGGGAGGAGAAGGGAGGAGGGGGAGGAGAGGGGAAGGGGGTGGAGGGAGGGGGAGGAGGGGAGGGGAAGGAGGAGGGCGGGGGAGAGGGGAGGATGGGGGGGGGGGGGCACGGGAGGAGGATGAGGTGAGGAGGACGGAGGGGCGGGTAGCTTTGAACAAGCGGTTCTCGATGGAGCGCCGCTTGCATCCGTCTCTGCAGCTTCCAGGCGGCAAGGACGGAGGGCGGGGCGTTTTCAAGAGGCGGCGTTCGCCTCTGCACGGGCCGAGGGGGGGTCCTTCTCACAGTTTTGGTTCTCGGTCGAGGCTTCCTCAAAGTGTGTGTGGCCAGAAGTGAGTATTCGTTGGACAGATGCACTGACCGAGGGCAGTTCCTTTTCAGGCCATGCTTCTGGCCATCTCTCCATGAGGAATTCCCTGAACTTTGGTATCCTACCTGCTCGTACGTCTCAGAGCAGGGCAGTATCATTTCAAAACGGGGCTCCCGTCTGAAATGCTGGCCCATTGAACGCTCGTTTTCAAGGGAGCGCTCACGATGACGAGAACGAAAGCTTGTAGGGATTGGTCAGGAGGGTACTTTGGACGGGAGGGCACCCTTGCAGTATCGTTGATACACCCCAGAGCTACGGTGGTCCTGTCCTCCTCCTTCTCCTCCTCCTCCTCGCAGTCCTACCGTTCCTCCTCCTCCTCCTCCTCCTCCTCCTCCTCCTCCTCAGCTCTCCGACGTGGTGTTCCCTTTCACGACGTGGACCCTCAAAGGTCAAGACCCCGTCCTCGCGACTGGCTTGCCATCCCGAGTCGTTTTTTGACGGTCCCGTGGCCCCGTGAGGGCCCACAGGCCGAAAGTGACCGAAGATCTTCGGTCGTGCCTCTTTCACGACGTGAGGTTCTTGGGGTCCTCCTCCTCCTCCTCCTCCTCCTCCTCCTCCTCCTCCTCCTCAGTAGCCCCCCTGTAGGCTCAAGTTTTGAGAACTCCGAGGCTCGGCGGCGCGTCAGGGGGGAAGCGAGCGGGGGCAGGCCCGCGCGGGGCGGGGCCCCGGCCGAGGCCCCGGGGAGCTCCCCTCGGACGGACAGGGGCCGCCTGCGCCCTCTGGGAGGGCCCGCCCTCTCGGAGAGCCCCCCCCCCGCGCCGCCGAGGGGCGCGCCCTTCGCCCCCGCCCGCGCCCCCGCCCGCATCTCCAGGCAGCCAGCGCCTTGTCCTCCTCGACATCGTCTGCGCGTGGAGAGGGACCTTTCGCCTCACCGCCGACCAAACCACCCCAACCCAACCCGAAGGCCTCAATTTTCCCTCCATTTCCAGTGTGGGGGGGTCGGGGAACATTGGAAAAACATATGGGACCCGTACCCCCCCAACCCGAAATTCGGGTCAAATTCGGGTCTTCGGGTTGGGTTGGGGTGGTTTGGTAGGTAGTCATCGCCGGAGTGCCCCTCGGTGCGGGCCCACCTGGGGTCCCCCGATCGCCGAGCACGAGGCGGCAGCAGCACTTCGCGTGTTGCGCGCTCGCGTTCGGCCCCCCCCCCGCGCCCCCCCCCCAAAGGCCGCGCACCAAAGGTCACTCTTGCCCAGGGTCACTCTTGCGTGTGGCCGATCAATGCGCTGGGGGCGTTCGTGGAGGAGGGGCGTGCCCTGGAGGCTTCAGACCGTGAAGGGTTCCTCATCTGAGGTGAGCGGCGGTGGTGGCCATGGCCGGTCCACGATTGGAGTTCCTTTGGCTCCCAGGCCCCAGATGTTTGATCCAAGGGTTCCTTATCCAATGCCCTCACCGTGCCCGAGGGCCGTGCCCCCCCCCAATAAAATGCCCTCGCCGTGCGGAGCCCCCCCAAGGCCCGACCCCCTCCCCAGGGTCGGCTCTTCGTCCCGAGTCGCTCCTTCGACGGCCCCGGGGCGCCGCGAGGGCCCTCGTATAAGAGGCCGAAGGCGGCGACGAACCGTCGTCGTGGTCCGTTGCAAGGCGTTGGCTGTGCTGGCCCCCGCGGGAGAAGAAGCCATGGCCGGGAGGGCGGCGGCGGCTGCGGCGCTCGCGTGCTGCGTGGCGGCTGGGCTCTGCGGCGTCGGCTTCGTCCCAGCCGCGGGCAGTGCCAAGGGGCGTCCACCACCACTGCAGGGGTCACCAGCTCCTCCTGGACGTCGAGGGATGGGGAGGTCCTCCTCCTCCTCCTCCTCCTCCTCCTCCTCCTATTCTCCTCCTCCTATTCTCCCTCCTCCTCCTCTCCTCCTCCTCCTCCTCCTCCTCCTCCTCCTCCTCCTCCCTCCTCCTCCTCCTCCTCCTCCTCCTCCTCCTCCTCCTCCTCCTCCTCCTCCTCCTCCTCCTCCTCTCTCCTCCTTCCCCTCCTCTTCCTCGTCCCTCCTCCCTCTTCCCTCGTCCCTCCTCCCTACCTATGGTAGTGGTGGTGGAAACCTGGCCAATCATCGAAGAGGTGGCGACCTCACGCGCCCCTGGAAGGTATCCCGTTCCACTGCCGGGAGCGCCCGCCCCGAGAGGCCACCCCCGCCGGGCCTGCCATTGTTCGTCGAGGGCTCCGCTTGGAGCCAGGGATCGACCTACACGGTGCTTTTGCGATGTTGTGGGCCGTTGTCGTTTCGATGTCATTCTGCAGTGCAGGCTTATTGAAGACAAGACGAAAGACGAGGGACAACAAAGACGAGCAAAAACGAGAGACACTGTTTTGGTCGAGCGTCCAGGCACACGAGCGCGCCGACGACCCCATCCACGCCCCACCGCCCCTGTCCCAGACCCCAGCCTCAGCTTTCTCCTCCTCCTCCTCCTCCTCCTCCGCCTTATTCCTCCTCCTCCTCCTCCTCCTCCTCCTCGCGCGGCTGCCTCTTTCGAGCCAGACTGGGGTGATTCTGGAACGCAGCCGAACACCAGCCGTGCCGCCTTTTGCCATGGAGCGCAGGGGTGTACCTTGTGATGCGTCGCGGGCGTCCCCTTCTCCTCCTCCTTCTCTCCCCGCAAGAAAGAAGCAGGAGAAGACAGGACAGGGCATATCTGCAGTCGGGCATCTGATCCAGAAGCCTCCCGAAGAGCTGTGCCGGCGTTTCCGAACCACCTTGCCGGAAAGCTGGCCCAGTTTCCTGAGCATGCTCGCCCCTCCAGCGTTCACAGCAGACATCGGCCCAGGTCTGCTTCGAGACTCTTCCGAGAGGTTGGCCCAGACTTCTTGACTGCTAGTTGTTTTCTGGATCAGATGTTCGGCTTCATGAGCTAGCACTCCAGCGAGGTGCCCAGCGAGATCCCCCCGCCTCTGGTGGCGACCTCCCTGGCCCGTCGGAAGAGCCGGCGAGACTGGCGAGAGCTCAGAAGTACCATTGGCCAAGAGGCTAGATCACATCGTACAGATCACGGTTTCGAGATTGCCAGTTGTTGCCTTGCGATGTCGAGCCAGGTCCCCCCGCCTCCAAGTTGAAGTCGGGCCTGTCCCTCTACAGGGGGAATACTCAAAAGTACCCTAGAAAATAGCCTGGGGACGATTTTTGGTGACTTTTTAGTGACTTTTTTTTGGGTGGGTGGGGATTTTTGAGTATTTTTTGTTTTTCGTCGAAGATCTGCCTGTAGGGGGACATGCCCGACTAACTTGGCATCGCTCGGACGTGTGCATTTTTCCTTCGGCGAGGACCATCGAGGAGCATCCTTGATTTTTTCGCGAAAAGACCACGCACGAAACGGAAAAAAGCACAGGAAATGGACGTTCGAGCGATGGCCAGCTAAGTGGTGACTCCCCTTGGCGCCTGCCCCGCAGCAGCGCTGCAGGGCGCGCCCCTCGCCCGGGCCGCGGGCGCCCCGTCGCCCGCGGCCGGCGCCGCGGGCTCAGCGCACCCGCAGGCCGCCGCGGGAGGGCGGGGTGCCTCAGCGGTGGCCGCCGCCGGGCACCTCGCCGCTCGCGTCCCGCTGCCCCTCTGCAGCCTCCTCCTCCTCCTCCTCCACCTCCTCCTCCTCTTCTTCTTCCTCCTCCTCCTCCTCCTTCTCCTTCTCCTCCTCCTCCTCCTCCTCCTCCTCCTCCTCCTCCTCCTCCTCCTCCTCTCCTCCTCCTCCTCCTCCTCCTCCTCCTCCTCCTCCTCCTCCTCCTCCTCCTCCTCTCTCCTCCTCCCCCCATTCCCATCGGGGAATCGTGCGACTCGAGTATCCCAGGCCTTCCTGCGTGGGGGAAGTGAGGGGGCAGGCCTTCTCCGTGGGCGGCGCTGTTTCTCGGAGGCACCCTCTGGCCCTCCGGGAAGCCCACCGTGTCTTCGGCGAAGGCTCGGAGCACTTCTCGGAGGGCTGGCGGCCTTCCGAGCCTTCTGCGAAGGCCCGACCCCCCCGTCGCTTCCCCCTCGAGATCCTATCGGGGAAGCGCAAGACTCGAGTAAGAAGCCGGAGCTCGGGTTTGCCGACGTTCTTTTTGGACGGACGCGTGCCGGCGTTCGACGGTCCGGTTTGCGTGGGAGGTCTGGAGCGGGACTTCGCGTCGAATTCCAGACGGCCTCGTAATCTTCATGATGGCCCCGTCAGGCCAAGCCGAGTCCCCCGTACCCGAGTCTTACAGCTTCCAGCTTGCATAAGGAACGCTCACTTTCAAAAGGGGCTCGGTCGTTCCTTTGGTTTGCATGCGTTCCGCTACCTTCTTGGCGGCGAGCCCCCTGGTGTTCCTTCGGACTTCCTAGACTTACTTGGACAACAAATGGGTTTCGTTCCTGATTTATCGTTCCTTAGCTCAGGCCGAATACTGTACGTCTCCCCGACATACATTTTTCCGTCGTGTGGCGGCATCCATTTTGGCGCCAGTTGTGGAAGCACGGTGTCCGCCCCCATCTTCTCGTTCAAAAAATAGATATCGGTGGTCGGCGGCGAGCGAGGGGGGGGAATCGAGAAGGAGGAAGCCTCCTGAAGCCTTCGCGCCTCCTGAGAGGTTTGCTGCGCCTTCGGGGAAGGCCCAGTGAACTTCTCAGAACGCCGCGGGGCGTCCGAGCCTTCTGAGATGGCCGCCCCCCCCACTTCCCCCCCGGGCTCGCCGCCGAGTCGTGCCGACGCGGCAGCGAGACACGACACCAGGGGGGGGGGGGCGGGGCGCCTCGGGCGCTCCCCTCCGGCGCCGCCACCCCTTGGCATCTCCGCCGCCCCTGCTTCCGTGTCCCGATGCGCGGCCCCAAGTGTTCCCGACTCCTGTGGGATTTTCGCCCAGAGCCGTTACTGCTGGCCCCGGGGCTCGACAAACGGCTCCCCCAGGGCCGAAGTGCTCCCGACTCCGGTGTCCAGAGGGGGGATTTTCGCCCAGATCCGTTTTTGCTGGCCAGGGCCGAAGTGCCGGAGAACCGCCGCGATGGGAAGCAGCACGTGGTCGGACGCAGACGTCCGCCGCTCTCACGACGGGGCCCCCAGAGGTCTGGGCCGTTTCCCCCGGGGCTGGTCCTTCGGCTCTTCCTCCTGGGTCCTCTTTGGATGGCCCTGTAGGGCCCGGCGAGGGCCCCCCGTGGGGCCGAACTCGGCGAAGAACCTCCGCCTTGAGTTTCTCGAGCCTGGAGGGCCGTGCCCAGACCCCCGACGTCGCGATTTTCTCGGAGCGTCGACCCCCAGAGGTCTCCATCCACTCCCCAGGACCGGCTTTCCATCCTGGGTCGTTCATTGACGGTCCCGAGGCCCAGTGAGGGCCTCCAGGGGCCCAAAAGAGCGAAAAACCTTCCGTCGTGATTTTGTCATGACTCGAGGGGTTCTGGGTGGATGTCTGGGTCGATCTTCTTCTCCTCCTCCCTTCGCAGGGCGCTGGCTCGTCCGCCGCGGCGGCCACGGCGGGGGCCGCCTGCCTCCTGGGTGCGGGGGCCGCCTTGGTGGCCTCGCGGCAGCGCCGCCGCGGCGCCGCGCAGGATTTCGGGAGGGCAGGGATCGGCCATGCGTGAGAGCGATCCTTCGCCGGACCCAGCTCCGTTCGAGTCCTGACAAAATCACGACGAGGGTTTTTGTTCGCTAGGTTCGGCCTTTGGGGGCCTTCACTGGGCCTCGGGACCGTCAATTAACGACCCAGGATGGAAAGCCAGTCCTGGGGAGTGACTGGAGACCTCGGGGGGTCGACGCTTTGAAAAAATCGTGACGTCGGGGGTCTGGGGAGTGAGCTTCGGCTCTGGGAGGCGCGATCATGGATCGCGCCGCATCGCCGACATTATCGGCGATGCGGGTCGAGGTGGGGTCCGATTTTCTCCACGCCAGCGTCGCCGATGCACCGCCGACGTCGCCGATGCATCACCGACACATCGCCGCCGTATCGGCGATGCATCGGCCGTGCGGCGCGATCCTCCGGGCAGTGGCTTGCGCGCGTGGATCCAGCCCCCACCCGCGGCACCCCTGTAAAGTTTCGAGTTCACCTGCCTAGGGTCGCTCTTGTGTATAGGCTTCAAAAGCGGCGCGATTGTGGCGCCTGCGGCAGGGGCGGGCACCGTCAAGACGCTGAAAGTCGATGTTCGCGGTGCGAGGTTTTCGGGCATTTTCATCGGTCCTTGCGGTTTGCCAGCCTCGGGATGATTTCCAGCGGCTGCGCCTCGCCGAGAGCGTCTCGGGGGTGCCCAGATCCTCCCGAACGGCTGCCGGAGCCGTCATTGTTGACTCGAAAGCTGGGGGGCAACGTAGGGGGGAAGCCGCCAAGACTTTGAAAGAAGGACCACTCTTGAGGGCACCTTGCTCATCGATTGAAGGTTCGGCGAATCATACCATCCCTGTAGCTGTGGCTGCCATGGACCACGCACCCCGCTATCCCCTCCAATGCCTGGTTAGGGGTGTGCGCGACTGCCCTGGCATGGAGGGAGCACGCGACGCCAGTGGCTCAATCTGCGAGGCGCACGGCAAACAGGAGAACACCTTGGGGTGCAGGAGGGGCCCTGGCTTGGGGGCGCTCCTCGGACATCTGGGCCCGGGAACCTCGTCGTGGCCGGGGCCGGCCGTGGCCACATCATAAACAGCCCCTTCGTTTCTCCTTACCCGCCACGGTCCTTCGAGGTAGCACGAGGGCTGTCTGCGGCGCGCGGGGGCGGGGGGTGCGGTGCGGGCACTGCGCGCCTCGGGGGTCTCCGGTCGCCCCTGTCCTCTCGACGCTCGGCCCCCCTCGGCAAGTGCGCGTGGTGCCCCCCCCCATCGGCCATGTCCGGGCCCGTCCTGCCTCCGCCGACGGGGGCAGGACCTGCCGGAGGCCCGCGAGAGGGCTTCTTGGGCACCAGGGGAGGGGGGCGCCTCGGACGCTCCCCTGCGGCGCCGCCGCCCCTTGGCATCTCCGCCGACCTGTTTCTGTGTCCCGATGCGCGGCCCTGCAGAGGCTCAACCGCTTCCCAGCCTGCGGACGGGGGGGCGCTGCGCCCCGCATCCCCGCTTTTTTGAGGGTGTCCCCGGGGCCTGCCGCCGGGCTCCAAGGAGAGCAGGTCTTAACTGTAAGAGCTAGGTTCTTAACCGTAAGCGTGGTACCAGACTCATGTACCATATTAATGTACCAGACTAGATGTACCAGACTAATGTACCTGACTCATGGCACCAGACTAATGTATCAGACTTGCACCAGACTGATGGCACCAGACTAATGTACCAGACTAATGGCACCAGGCAAATGGCACCAACCTGAAGATGTACCAGACTGGTGTACCAAACTCGTGCACCAAACGAATGTACCAAACAAATGCACCAGACTGGTGTACCAAACAAATGTACCAGACTGGTGTGCCAAACTACTATACCAAACTAAGGTACCAAACTAAAGTACCAAACGCATGTACCAAACTAGCGTGCCGGACTAGTGGCGCAAGGCTATGGCATCATGGTCGCAGCGCTGCAGGAAAAAACTCGAGGCGCTGCAGGGAAAAATCGTGGCGCTGCAGGAAGAGGTCGTGGCGCTGCAGGAAAAAGTCGTGGCGCTGCGGGAAAATCGTGGCGCTGCAGGAAAAAGTCGTCGCGATGCAGGAAAAGTCGAGGCGTTGCAGATTCACATTTTGACGCTGTAGGACAAATCGTGGTCTTGCTGGAAGAAGGTTACGCTGCAGGAGAAATCGGGGACCTGCAAGGAAGAACTATGGCGTTGCAGGAAAAATCGTGGCGCTGCAAGAAGAAGTCGCGTCCGCTGCGCTGCGGGAGAAAAGTTGCGGCGCTGCAGGAAAAAGTCGCGGCGATACGCTGCAGGAGAAAAAATGGTGGCGTTGCGGGACAATGTCGTGAAGGCTGCAGGAAAATATTGTGGCGCTGCCTAAAAAAAACCGCGGCGCTGCAGGATATAAGTCGTGGTGCTGCAGGAAAAGTCGTGAAGGCTGCAGGAAAATATTGTGGCGCTGCAGGAAAAAATCGCGGCGCTGCAGGAAAAAGACGCGGCGCTGCTGGGGAAAAATCGTGGCGCTGCAGGAAAAGTCGTGGCGCTGCAGGAAAAGGTCGCGGCGCGGCAGGGGGAAAGCCGTGGCGCTGCAGGAAAAAGTCGTGGCGCAGCAGGAAAAATCGTGGCACTGCAGGAAAAAGTCGCGGCGCTGCAGGGGAAAAATCGTGGCGCTGCAGAAACAATCGTGGCGCTGCAGGAAAAATCGTGGCACTGCAGGAACAATTCGCGGCGCTGAAGGAAACAGCCATGGCGCTGCCCGAAAAAAAGTCGCGGCGCTGCACAACAAATCGTGGCGCTGCAGGACGAAACCGTGACGCTGCAGGAGAAAGTCGCCAGGAAAAGTCGCGGCACTGCAGCAAAAAGTCTTTGCGCTGCGCTGCAGGAAAAAGTCGTGGCCCTGCAGAAGAAAGTCATGGCGCTGCAGAGATAAGTCGTGGCGCTGCAGGAAGGGTGGTGACGGCTGCAGGGAAATATTGTGGCGCTGCAGGAAAAAAAGTCGTGATGCTGCGTGAAAAAGTCGCGGCGCTGCAGGGAAAAGTCGTGGCGCTGCAGGAGAGTCGTGGCGCTGCAGGGAAAAGTCGCTGCGGCTCAGGAAAATCATTGGCGCTGCGGTAACAAGTCGTGGCGCTGCAGGAAACAGCCGCCGCGCTGCAGGAAAAAGTCGCGGCGCTGCAGAGGACAGTCGTGGCACTGCAGGAGAAATCCGCGGCGCTGCGGAGAGAAATCGTGGCGCTGCAGGAAACAGTCGTGACGCTGCAGGGAAAAGTTGTGGCGCTGCAAGACTAATGCACCACACCAATGGCACCATACTGATGTACTAGACTAACGAACTAGACTACTGTAGCAGACTAATGTGCCAGGCGAATGAACCAGACGAGTGTCACCAGACTGATGTACCAGACCAACGTACCAGAATAATGTACCTGACCAATGGCACCAGACGAGTGGCATCGTACTGGTGGCGCCAGACTAGCGGTACTACACTAATGGACCAGACTAGATCCCAAATGAAAGTGCCGGACTCATGCACCCGACTAATGTACCATATTGACGGCACTAGGTGTACCCGACTAACGTACCAAACTTGTGTATCAGACGAATGGCACCAGACCAATGTACCAGATTAATAATGTACCAAACTGATGTACCAAACTTATGTACCAGTTTGACTGGTGGCACCAGGCAGAAGTACCACACCAACGTGCCAGACAAATGTACCAGACTAATGGCACCAGTCTAATGACACCAGACCAGATGAATGGCATCAGACGAATGCCATCACACTAATGGCACCAGACTGGTACCACCAGACGAATGGCACCAGACGAGTGGCACCAGACAGATGGCATCATATCAATGGCGCCAGACTAGCGGTACCAGACTGATGTACGAGACGGGTGTACCAGTCTCATGTACCAGACTGATGTAGCAGACTTTTGTACCATATTAGCGGTCCCAGACAACTGTACCAGACTAATGTACCAACCTAATGCACCAAACTCATGTACCAGACTTCGTGCACCAGGCCCATGTTCCAGACGAACGTACCAGACGATAGTACCAGACTCATGGCACCAGACAAATGACACCAGACCAGACACATGGCACCATACTCATGGCACCTGACGAATGGCAGCATACTTATGGCGCCAGACTGGCGGTGCCAGACTAATGTGCCGCAGTAGTGTACCATAGTAATGTACCAGACAAATGTTCCAAACTAATGTGCGAGAGTAGCGGCGCCATGCTGGCGGCACCAGAGTAGAACACCAGACACCGTGGTCTGGTGCCTCACTCTGGTGTTTTAGTCTGGTGCCATTGGTCCGGTGTCGCCCGTCGGGTATGTTAGTCTGGTCTGTACACTAGTCTGGCACATTCGCCTGGTACATGGGTCCGGTGCTTTAGTCTGGTGCCACAGTCTGGTACATTAGTCTGGTACATCAGTTCGGTGCATTAGTCTGGTACCGTGTTTACGCGGTCAAGAACTACCCTCGGCTCCAAGAAGTCCAGGGGCCGAGAACCCGAGGAGAACGCCCAGCTGGCGCCCCCCCCCCCCCCTGGCGTGCCACGCGAGGGGGTGGTAAGGCTGCGGTGTGCGCAGAGACGGTCCCTGCCAGGCACAGTCGACCCGCATAGGTTATAAGGATGGGCAGCCTTCCCGAGGGTGCCCTTGCATCCTTGCCCCTTCGGCCCAGCCCTGGCGACTTTCACTGGCCAGCCTCGTTCGAAAATCGTCAACTTGGTCCTCCAAGGCCCTTGCATCCTTACCGCGCATCCATATGATACGGTTGGGCTGTAGCCTGGGCTGGCCTCAACAGGCCCCCCGAGTAGTCCCATCTGGCCTCAACAGGCCCCCCGAGTAGTCCAGGGCGGTTTCCATACCCAGCCCTGCGGCGCGGAGCGCTCCAGGGGCGCTGCCGGAGGCGGTGCTAGGGCATTGCGCTCAGCCCGAAGCTTGGGATCACCTGGGGTGGCTGTCTGCACGCAGCCCGAAGCTTTACCAGGAGGGGGGGCCCAGCGCCGACCCACGAAGTCCGCGCGGACCTCCAGCAGTGGACACTCGAGCCAGGTCTTGTTTTGTTGTGTTCTCCCGGCAGAGCCTCACCGCGCGCCGCTTCTTCGGCGGCGGCCGCGCGCCCGAGGCGAAAGACATCACCAAGAAGGTCTACTTCCGCTCCCTCCCTCCCTCCCTCCCTCGCTCGCTCCCTCCCTCCCTCCCTCCCTCCCTCCCTCCTCCTCCTCCTCCTCCTCCTCCTCCTCCTCCTCCTCCTCCTCCTGCTCCCCCTCCCCCTCCTCCTTCTCCTCCTCCTCTCCTCCTCTCCTCCTCCTCTCCTCCTCCTCCTCCTCCTCCCCCGCCCCTCCGCCTCCGCCTCCTCCTCCTCCCCTCCATTTCTCCCTCCCTCCCGCCTCCTCCTCCTCCTCCTCTTCCTCGCCTCCTCCTCGCTCCTCCTCCTCCTCCTTCTTCTCCTCCTCCTCCTCCTCCTCCTCCCCCGCCTCCTCCGCCTTCTCCCTCTCCCCCCCTCCCCTCCCCTCCACCCCTCCGTCACTGAAACAATGCGCCGGCGACCAGAGAGGTCTTCTTCGACATCAGCATCGGCGGCCAGCCCGCCGGGAGGATCGTCTTCGGCCTCTACGGCGACGTGGTCCCGAGGACCGTGGAGAACTTTGCCTCGCTGTGCTCCGCCCTGCCCGGCGGGCGTGGGGCGGAAGGGGGGGGGACCTGTCGGGGGCGGAAAAAAGGGGGTGATGACTAGGTGGGGGTGGATATCACGGCGTGGGATATTTCCCCAGATTTCATGGCGCCTCTTCTTCTTTCATTACGTCCCTGGCCCCCCCGCTGGGCCGCGCACATGCCGCCGGTCATGATTTGCACCCCCCCCTCTTGGACACCCCCCTCTTGGCCGCTCCCGATCCTGCGGAGGCAGAGGTGCCGATGCCGCTGCTCGGCCTGGGGAACCATCGCCGCCACCGCCTGTCGGGGGTGGACAGACCTCCTACCCCGACACGTCGATCAAGGAATTTGCCGCTTTCGGTTCGCGAGCGAGAGGGCGTCGCGGCCGTGCTATTTGCGGGTCCAGGTCCGTCGGTTTCGGTCCCAGGCCGTTTTCATTAAAGGGAGGTTTACTAAAGGGAGCTTTGTCCACCGCCGGGCCTGGAGTCTCCTCGAGACAGTGGTGGTCCGCATGCGCCCGCTGCATGGGAGAGGCCCGGGGAGGGCGGCGGTCTCGGCACCATCTATCGCTTACACGTAAGAGTGACCTTTCGCCGGAGTGACCTTTGGTGCGCGCTCACTGGGGTCCCCCGACCGCCGCGCTCGTTGCGATGTTAGCGTCTTGCGCGCTCGTGTTTGGCCTCCTCGCGCCCCCGATAAGGCCGCGCACCAAAGGTCACTCTTACCCAGGGTCACTCCTTACGTGCAGCTGAATCTATCGTAGCCCCAGGGCTGGGGAGGCGGGGGGGGGGGGAGGGCCACGGGCGCCGCCGCGTGCGGCCAGGTGCGGCCCGGCCGCCGCGCGCTCTCCCGGACGCGCGGGCGCCTCCGGCGCCGAGGGGCGCCAGAGAAGCCGGCTGCGTGAGCTGATTCCTTGTCCCATCCATTGCCATCCCCCCTTCCAGAAAGACATCTATTAGCTTGGGAGGATGGGGGAGGGAGAGACGATCAGATCATCCGCATGACCGCGTATGCCGAGTGTGCTTCTTGCGCAGTCGCGCCCCGCATCCTCCCAACCCTATCCTCCCAAGCTGATAATCGTCTTTCTGGCCCTTTCGTCCGGCTCGGCAGGCGAGGGCTACAAGAATGTTCCCTTCCACCGCATCATCCCCGGGTTCATGTGCCAGGGCGGTGACTTTACGAATCCAGTGGCAATCGGCCATCCCGCCACCGCGCCGTGGTTGTAGGCCAGAGGCCTCTCGGATACTTCTGGGGATCTCTTGGGAGGCCTGTCGGAAGCCTCTTGAAGGCGGTTACGGGGTGTCTTGGGGGCCTCTTGGGGGCTTGTTGGGGCCTGATCTGGGCCTCTTGGAAACCTCGGGGGCCTGCTGGCGGTCTGGGGGATCATGTACGGGCGGAGGGCTCGGACTCTTGGCTCGTGTTCCCGCTCTGGTGCCTCTCTTGGGCCTCTCTAGAGGCCCTCTTGTGCCGTCTTGGCGGCCCGTTGAGCCGTCTTGGCGCCCTCTTGGGCCGTCTTGGAGGCCTCCTGGGCTATCTTGGAGCGTCGAAATCTTGACAAGGCGAGAAAGCCCAAATCCTTCCAACACCTCAGCGGAATCAATGCTTCTGGCTTCTCGGGGCCCTCTTGAGGGGCCACCTGGATCCCTCCTGGGGCCTTTTTGGGGCCTCTTGGGCCGTCTTGAAACCATCTTAAGCATCTTGGAGCGGAGCGCTCTTGGGCCGACGCGGGGCCCTCTCGGACAGTCTTGGGGGCCTCTTGGGGCTCTCTTGGCCTGTCTTGCGGCGCTCGGGCCTCCCAACAAGTCTAGCGAAAACACTCGGGAAGCTCCGGAGAATCTGGGAATCTGGGGTCTGGGCCACTGAATATTCATTCATTCAGGACTGATGACGGAGGGCTGAAGGGACCTGAAGACACTCCAACTCGTACACGGTGGCGGATTTCAACGGCACAGGGGGGAGGAGCATCTACGGCAACAAGTTCGAGGATGAAAACTTCGACCTTGATCATACCAAGCCTGGCCTGCTGAGCATGGCGAACGCCGGCCCGAACACCAACGGCTCCCAGTTCTTCATCACCACGGCCGTCACGGACTGGCTCAACGGCAAGCACGTGGTCTTCGGTGAGGTTCAGGGGTAACGTTCGGGGGGATCTGCTCAGGGGGGGGTGCGCGTCGACCTGCCACCATCCGTGCATCGCCGACAAGGGCCCGGTACCCCACCCCGCCCGTGAAGGTGCGGGTTTGCCATCGGGGGCCTCGTCGGCGACGTATCGCCGATGCCAGGTCGAGGTTCTCCCCCCGAGCCGGTCCCACCCTCGGGCGCATGCGCTGAGGAAGGGCCCAGGAGGCGTCGGACCCCGGAGGATTCCCCACCCGATGAGGACGGCGGTGGTACTGGCCAGTCCTCCATTGGCGTTCCCCCGGTCCCCAGACCCTGGGTTCCCTCATCCAAGGGCGCCTTATCGAAGACCCTCACCTTGATGCTACTGTTCCTTTGCTGCAGCGTTATGCCTCCTTCGTTTGGGGACTCTAGGTTCTCTCTAGGCCGTCTGCTGCGTGCGTGATGGCAGTGGGGGTTCCGACTCCAGGAGCGCCCGACCTGGACATCTTTTCGGGGCCCCAGTAGTGCTGTTCTTCTCAGCCCGAGCAGGGCTGGCTAGTCCGTGTCGGCTGCACACCTGCTTGGCATCGCTGCTCCCCAGAGGTGGTCGAGGGCATGGACGTGCTGCAGAAGATGGAGAGCATGGGCAGCCAGAGCGGCCGCACGAGGCAGGAGGTCGCCATCGCGGACTGCGGCCCGGCGTGAGCCCGCCGAGGTCCACCCCGCGGGCCGCGGGCGCGCGACGCCTTCGCTGCCGCGCGCCCTCCCCCTCGGCTGGGCGGCGAGCCTTGGGGGGGGGGGGGGGAAGCGAGGAGCGGGCAGGCTGCCGCGCTGCGCGGTTTTGCTCGTGCGGCCGTCCCCCCCCCCGCGAGCCCCCCGCGGCCCACCCCCGCGACCCACCCGCCCGCCCTCCGGCCCGCTCTACGGTAGGGTCATGCGACATGCGGGGGGGGGAACCACGGTGGGGGCGTTCGTGGAGGCATGTGCACAGGTGGCCTCAGACCCTGGGGTTTCCCTTCTCCAGAAAGGGGGCGGCGGTGACACCCACGGCCGACCGACCCACGATCGAAGCTCCACTGGCTGCGAGTAGCCCCTGGGCGCACTGCCCTCGCCGTGGGACCCCTGGCCCGTTGTGGCGGCGTGGTGCGTGAAGATGCCTGCGCTCCCCTGGGTCGGTCCTGGGCGCGCCGCCGCGCTGTGTAAGACCTGTGTTGGGCGACGGCGGTCTGCGAATCAACGTGCAGGCAAGGGCCCCGGGCTCCCGAGGTGATGGAAGATGCCCTCACCGTACCGCGGAGACCCATGCCAAGTAGCACCCTGCTCGCCTCCAGGGGTGCCCTGGGCTTCTTGGGCTTCGATGGTCTTTTGCGGTGGAGAGAGCGCCGTCCCCACACCCAAAGAACCAAGGGACGCTCTGGGGCCTCGGGGTTGGTCTTCTCGTGGAGGGCCTCTCGTGGACTGGCCTCCCCTGGTACAGTCGGGGCCCTGAAGAAGGAACCCTTTTCGTTGGGGAGGGGCTCCGTGTTCCTTAATTCTTTCGCAGCTCGCCTTGGATTTTCCTCAGGTTCTCGATGCGAAATCGCAGTTCAACTTCTGGAAAACAGGGGCCTCGTTCCTTATTTAGGGTTCCTTAGGTCAACGCCTCGACTGCACCTCCCACGCCTGGACACCCCCCGCACGCGGCGTCGGCGGGCCGCAGAGCGCCGGCGAGCCCCCCATGGGGGGGGGCCAAGGCCAGGCCTCCTCCGTGGGCGGCGCCGCTCCTCGGAGGCGCCCGCCGGCCGGCCCCCTCCGGGGAGAGCCGCCCGCGCCCTCGGCGAGGGCTCGGGCCGCTTCCTCGGAGAAGGCCGGCGGCCTGCCGAGCCTTCTTCAGCGGGCGAAGAACGGTACAACATAAACTTTTCCGCCGTCGGGGACGCCTGCCCCTCGGCGGCTGGAAAGTTTATACCCCTACGGTGCCACCGTAAAGTTATAAACTTTCCAGGCGCCCTGGGACAGGCGCCCCCGACAGCGAAAAAGTTTATTTTATACCGTTCTTCGCCCATTAACTTCTGCGAAGGCCCGCCAACCCCCCCCTCCTCGCTTCCCCCCCAGCCCCTTGCCTCAGGCGATCGCAGGCACGGATCCGGGGGGCGTGGAGCAGCGACGGGCCCCGTTTCCGTGGGAAGCCGCGGACTTCCGCCGGCGAGCGAGGCGGCACCGGCCGCATTCTGGGGAGGGCACCTCCCCCGAGCCATGGAGCTGGCGACCCCGCGCCGAATCCATGGATCGCTAATCCATGTTGGCGCGCCCCCGATCCTCGGCCGCCCTCCGGCCCTCCGGGAAGCAGCCCGTGCCTTTGGCGAAGGCTCGGAGCACTTCTGGGAGGGCCGGCGGCCTGCCAAGCCTTCTGCGAAGGCCCGGCCCCCCCCGTCGCGTCGCTTCCCCCCTCCCGTCGGGGATGCGCAGGGCTCGAGCATAAGGGGGAAGGGCGAGGCTCGGGCAAGAAGCCCGGCGCTCGGGCTGGCCGCCGTTCTCGGGGCCTAAGAGACGGGGGTCAGTGCAAACGGGGGTCAGCCAGGGCACCAGATCCTGCAGGATCCTGCGAAGGCCCCCTCTGGCTGACCCGGGTTAGCGAGCCGCTCGTGGCCGCGAGGCGGCCGCTCGTATTGGCTGACCCGGGTTTGCGAAGACCTGCGTTGCAGTTTCTTTTCTCCTGCATTGCAGTTTTTTGGTTTCCTGCTGACCCGGGTCTGGATTGACCCGGGTCAGAAGATCCCCGACGTTCCTCTGACGAGCGCGCCAGGGATGTTGACGGTCCGGTTTTGAAGGGATGTCTGCAGCGGTCGCTCGCGTCGAATACCATGTTTTCGGATGCAACTCCTGGGAGGTCAAATTCTGATTTTGCGCTGGTCCGAAATCCGGCTTAATCCCGCTTCATCCCGTTTAATCCCGTTTAATCCCGCTCAATCCGGCTTGATCCCGCTTCATCCGAGGCCCACTCTGGCGCAACAGCTCCCGAATGTGGCTTCATCCTCCTTCACCTTTCCGACGAAAACCTCCCAGCAGTTGCCTCCTAACATCAGAGCGTGAATTTCCTACCCCGCTTTCGCTTCCAGGCAAAACCAAGTCATACCACGCGCCTCCTCGTCAAGCGGCCTGACCAGCGCAGGCCGTAGTCTGGCGTCGCTCGGTATCTCTTGGAAGCGAGGGTGGTCAAAAGCGAGGTAGGCTTGTTTGCGCCCTATAACATGTTGGGCCTCGTCATCTTCATGCTGGCCCCGTCAGGCCGCCATGTCGACCCGAGCCCCCCGTACACGAGTCTTGCGTCTCCCCGGCCCTGGGCCCGCCGGCAGCCCTCTGCCTTCGTCTCCGCGCCGGCGTCGCAGCAGCCACGCCGCCAGCTTCTCGGCCGGCCTCCTCTGCGGTCGGACCGAGGCCTGCGATAGGGGGCCGCATGCGAACCCTACCCCCCTAACCCCCACGATTTCCGAGGGGGGTGGGTGGGATTCGCTTCGTTCGGGAGCTCCCGAGCGGAGTGAACCCCACCCTCCCCCTCAGAAATCGTGGGGGGTAGGGGCAGGGTTCGCATGTGGCCTCCTGTACGAGTGAGGCCAGTTCGGGGAGGGTGCCCTAATGTTTTTCGTGCTCGTCAGATGCTCTTGTTCATCCTGGGGGAGGGTGCCTCCGAGTGTTCCTCAGTTTGGCTGGCGGATGGTCTCATGTTCTTGGAGGATGGTCTTCTGCCTCGGTCCGACCCTGTGCTGGCCTGCATCCCCAGCATCGTTCGCCACAGTTCGAGTTATAGGTTCGGTCGGAGCTCGCGTCTGAGCCATCGCAGTTGAAACGCTCCCTCTTCCTCTTCCGCCTCCTCCTTCCCTCCATCTCCCCCCTCTTCCTCAAACTTGCGCCCCCCTCTCCCAGCACACCACCCACGGTTTGTGGGCCTCGTCCGCGGAGGTGCTCGCCAGCGCCTGCGTGGTCTGCGGCGTGCCCCTCGTCATATCCCTGCACACGGAGGGGCGGGGTGCCGAGTCTGGAGCGATTGGCCTGCAGCTGGGCTCGGGGTGGGGTCACCGGCGTCGCACGGGCGCACTGATGCCAGGTGCGCGCCGCCCCCCCCCCGCCGCCCGGGGCGGCGCGCGCGCCGAGAGATCTTGTGGCATGTGCGTCGTGGCGGGCGCTTTCTGGCCGCGCCGCTCGGGAAACGATCGACTACAAGATGGCTATGCTATACGTTCGGGTCGGGTGCACGCCTGCAGGAGAACATATCGTACTAGTATGTCCTTGTGCGTCTCAGATCATGGGTTAGGAGGCAGGTGGGCGATGCAAAACAACGGGGTCGTCTGCGCCGACATTCGAGCGTGAGCCGCCGCGCAAGGTCGCGCGTGAGCGCCCTCGTCTCCAATGCGGCGTGCCGCGCTGGCGGCTTGCGTGAGCCGCGGCGTAAGGTCGCTATGCCATCTTGCGTAAGACCCGCTGTTTTTCGTCGCCCGGGTGGCCGAGGCAGCTGTTTCCGCGGGCGCGTCCGCCGGGAACGGCGCCGGGCCCTCGCCCCCTGCGCAGTGGTGGATGAAGGCAAGGGTGCGCCCCCGCGCGCGCACGCCCACGGCGCTCTTAAGCCTACGTTGCCCCACTTGCTGCGGTGGTGTGGAGTGTCAGCGCAGGAGAGCATGCACGCGCTTATCCGCATTCTGCCGTCAGTGACGTGTTTGGGGCCTGGCCTGGCCTTTGCTCTCTTGTTGTTTTTCCTCTCTCTCTCTCTCTTTTTCTCTCTCCCTATCTCTCCTTTTATATATATATATATATCATATATATATATATGTATGTGTATCCCTCGCTTTATTTCTCTCTCTCTCTCTCTGTCTGTCTGTCTGTCTGTCTGTCTGTCTGTATGTCTGTGTGTATGTCTGCCTGCCTGCCTGTCTGTCTGTCTGTCTGTCTATCTGTCTGCATCCTGACTCTCTGTCTATATACATGTGTGTATATATAAATATATATTATGCCCGTGCGCATTCCAATTCAGTCATGGCGCCACGTGAAGCTAAGACGCACATGGGTTGGGATGGAGCCTCAGCTGCTCCACGAGCCTTCCGAAGGAGTGATCAAGCGTGTGCCCCCAAGACGAGGGAAACCTATCCCATGTGTGCGAAGCGCGATGAAGACATGCCAGTGGTGGTCATGGCCAGGGTCGCCATTTCCATCGATCGGCTCGATCATGGGTGCCGAGGACTGCTTGAGGCATCGACCGGTTCGACCTGGCTGGGCCAGCTTCTGCCGCGGCACCGCCCTGGCCTCGCCTGGGCGGCGGGCCCAGCCAGAGCGGGAGGGTGAGGCACCGACCGATCCCGCCGTGCAGGACACCGGGCTCGTGTGAGACTCGGCATCGCTCGGACGTGTGCATGTTGTTTCGGCGAGGGCCATCGAAGAGCAGAGTGGATTATGCACGCGCGAAGTCGAAAAACGCACGGGGTATGGGCGTCCGAGCGATGGCGAGGAGATGGGGTCCAATCGCGGCGGGGACGTTGCCGTGACTGTGCCGTCGGCGACGCTGTCTTGCGGCTCAAGGAATTCCGCTGGAGGGACGAGGCGAGGCCTTGGCCCCGGATCCTTCACTCCGCGCCGACTCCGTGGGCGCCTCAGGTTGGCCATCCCCTCTCCCACTCAGGGGCCTCGTCCACCATCCCCTTCTCCGCCTGAGGCGACGTTTGTGGAACTGCAGGGGGCCTGGGCCGTACGTTGACCAAAGCCCTGCCAGGCCAGGCCAATCCCAAGCCCATGCCTGGCGTCGGTCTGGGAGGGGAGGAAGACGAGGACGATGACGATGGCGGTTACGATGACGATGAAGATGACGATTGCAATGACGATTGATGATGATGATGATGATGATGATTATGATGATGTTGATGATGCTTCTGCTGATGATGAGGATGATGATACGGATGCTGATGATGATTATGATGGTGCTGATTATGATGATGCTGGTGATGTTGATGATGATGATGCTGCTGCTGCTGCTGCTGATGATGATGATGATGATGATGACCATGATGATGACCATGCTGATGCTGACGATGATGCTGCTGCTGATGGTGATGCTGATACTGCTTATGATGATGCTGATGCTGATGATGAGGCTGATGAGGACGAGTGCGGTGATGATGACGGTGGTGATGCTGCAGATGCTGATGCTGGTGATGATGCTGATGATGGTGTTGATGATGATGATGATGATGATGATGATGATGATGCTGATGCTGATGCTGATGATGATGATGATGATGATGTTGATGATGTTGATGGTGATGATGACGACGATGATGATGCTGATGCCGCTGATGATACTGATGACGATGGTGATTGTGATGATGCTGATGTTGATGCTGATGGTGATGCTGATGGTGGTGATGCTGATGAGGATGAATGTGGTAATGATGACGGTTATGATGATGATGCTGCTGCTGATGATGATGATGATGATGATGGCGATGATGATGATTCTGATCAGTACCGTGATGACGACGATGAAGAAGAAGCACCAGATGATGATGCTGATGATGATCGTGGTGGTGGTGATGATGATCATGGTGGTGATGATAAACATGGTGATGGCGCATCAACTGATACATACAAATATGATGATGCTGATGGTGATGCTGTTGTTGAGTATACTTACGATGATGATGATGATGACGATGATGATGCCGATGCTGATGACGATGATGATGATGATGATGGTGGTGATGATGATGATGATGATGAGGAGGATGATGATGATGATGTTGATGATGATGACGATGTGGATGATGCTGCTGCTGATGATGATGATGGTGGTGATGATGATGGTGGTGGAAATGATGACCATGCTGGTGGTGATGATGATGATGATGAGGAGGAGGAGGAGGAGGAGGCAGACGAGCAATTGGAGGAGGAGGAGGAGGAGGAGGAGGAGGAGGAGGAGGGGAAGAGGAGGCGGGAGGAGAAGGAGGAGAAGGAGGAGGAACAGGAGGGGAGGAGGAGGAGGAGGAGGAGAAAATGGAGGAGGACGAGGAGAAGGATGATAATGAGGATGATGGTCAGGGTGAGGAGCCGGAGGAGGGAGGGGGAGGCAAGGCAGTAGGAGTGAAGGAGGAGGAGGAGGCGGAGGCGGAGGCGGAGGCGGAGGAATTGGAGGAGGAGGAGAAGGAAAGGGAAGGAGGAGGAGGAGGAGGAAGAGGAGGAGGAGAGGAGGAGGAGGAGGAGGAGGAGGAGGAGGAGGAGGAGGAAAGGGGAGGAGGAGAGGAGGAGGAGGAGGAGGAGGAGAGGAGGAGGAGGTGGAGGCGGAGGCGGAGGCGCAGGCACAGGCGGCGGCGGCGGCGGAGGCGGAGGCGGAGGCGGAGGAGGAAAGAAGAGCAGTTGGGCAAGGGGAGACTGCGGGAGCGAGGAGGGGAATAGTAGGGCGAGTGGGAAAGGGTGAGGGAGAGAGGCAGCGAGGAGACACAAACATGATCCCGTTTCCTTGCAGGTTCGGCGCTCCGTCGCCAAGTCAAGGAGGAGGAGGAGGAGGAGGGAGGAGGAGGAGGAGGAGGAGGAGGAGGAGGAGGAGGAGGAGGAGATGGGGAGGAGGAGGAGGAGGGTGGGGTGGACGAGGAGGAGGAGGAGGAGGAGGAGGAGGAGGAGGAGGAGGAGGAGGAGGTGTAGGTGTAGGTGGAGGAGGAGGAGGAGGAGGAGGAGGAGGAGGAGGAGGTGTTGGTGTTGGTGTAGGTGGAGGAAAAGGAGGATGGTGATTGCAGCTGGCTGGTAGCAGCAGCAGCAGCAGCAGCAGCAGCAGCAGCAGCAGCAGCAGCAGCGCCGAGGTGACCCCTCGGAGAGCGGAACTTCTTCCTTCCGTTAGCGTTCTGAAGCCCCATGCGGAGGTGGCCCGTCGCGGAGCACCGAACAGGCAGCGCGTCCGGGCTGATTTTTGTTGACGTTGTGTCTTCGAATGGGGATGGGAAGGACGATTGGAAGGGGTAAGGAGGAACGGGAGGGGAGCAAAGGAGAGGCGAAGGAGGAGGGGGATGAGGAGACGGGGAAAGGGAGGGGATGTGGAACGGAAGGGGACGAGGAGGCGGGGGGGGTGGAGCAGGCATCGAGGAGAATGCTGGGAGGTGATGAGCAAAGGTGGATGCGAGTGGACGGGACGGGAGGGGGACACGGAGAAAGGAGGAGGAGAGAGGATCATCTGTTCACGGGCTGGTTGTAGAAGGCCTGCCTGCCTGTTTCCACAGAAAGGTCGACTCCTCGGTAGTTATCGCGCCCGCGCGTCATGCTCGTCGTCGTCGTCGTCCTCCTTCTCCTCCTCCACCTTCTCCCCCTCCTCCTCCGCCTCCTCCTCCTCCTCCTCTTCCTCCTCCTCCTTGTCATGTTCCTCTTCCTCCTGAGATTCGGTGATGATCCTAGTGCTGATCATGCTACTCTGCCTTCTCTGTCTCCTACTCCTCCTCCTCCTTGCCCCATCCTCCTCCTCTTCCTCCTCCTCCTCCTCCTCCTCCTCGTCACCATCATCATCATCACCACCACCACCATCATCATCAGCATCATCATCATCATCATCATCACCATCATCATCAACATCAGCATCATCATCGTCATCATCGTCATCATCGTTATTATCATCACCATCACTATCACCATCATCACCATCATCATCTTTGTATTCATGATCTTCTGCGACATCACCACCTTCATCATCACCACCATGATCATCATCATCATCATCATCACCACTATCATCATCTGATGCTTCCTCATCATCGTCAACCTCATCATCATTGTTCGGAACATCATCACCATCATCCTCATCCTCGCCATCACCATCACCATCACACTCACCATCACCATCATCACCACCACCACCATCACCATCACCATCACCATCACCATCACCATCATCATCATCATCACCATCATCAGCATCAGCATCAGCTTATCACCATCATCACCATCATCATCACCATCGCCACCATCATCACCATCATTGTCATCAACATCATGGTCATCATCGTCACCACCATCGTCTGCATCGTCATCATCATTGTCATCGTAATCATGGTCACGATCAACGTCATCACCATCATCACCAACATCTTCACAATCATTATCATCATCATCCGCATTACCATCATCACCATCATCATCATCATCATCAGCATCATCATCATCATCATCAGTACCACCATCCTTATCATCGCCATCATCATCATCATCAGCATCAGCACCACCATCATCATCATTACCATTATCATGATCATCATCAGCAACATCATCTTCAGACTGATCACCCGTCTTCCTTATCCCCCTCCTGCCCCTCTTCGTGGCCGGGCCGCTGTCGGGCCCCTCGGGCAGCCTAACTCGGACGGCACTGCAGGAACGGGTGGTGTGGAATTCGAGGATGAGCTTTCGCAGGCGTTGCTGGAAGCCCGCCTGGAGGCAGGGGTGAGGCCGTCTGAGCGGCGTCGCACGGCCGTGGGTGCCGTGGGTGCCACCACCAGGGCCGCCACCTCCAGCGAGGGGGGCCCAGGATGCCTGTCGGGTCAGCGGGGCAGGGGCTGCCTCGAGCGCGGAGGCACACCACCGGGAGCAGCCTCCCTGGCGCCATGCGCTGGTGGTGGCGGTGTCGCCCCTCCTTGCCTCTCCCCGGAGACAGGCCGCCGCTCCTTGCTTCTCCCCGGAGACAGGCCGCCGGCCGGTGGCCGTTGCTGTCGCCATCCACCTCCTCGCGCAGCTCGGGCCCGCCGCTGGGGTGGCCCTCGACCAGCGCACCAGGCGCCGCGAGAGGGTGGCAGGGCGGGACAGAAGGACGAGGAGGAGGGGGAGGAGGAGGGAGGAGGAGGAGGAGGAGGAGGAGGAGGCGGAGGAGGAGGAGGAGGAGGAGGAGGAGGAGGAGGAGGAGGAGGAGGAGGGGGAAGAGTTCGATGCGGCCTGGGACGATGGAGAGAGGGAGGGAAGAGGGAGGGCAGGGAACGTGGGAGGGGCCTCTTGTTGGTTCTAGCATCACCCCTTTGCATTGATATTGTGCGAACTGGGAGTGTGGAGTGGTGAGTTGGGGGTGAAGGAGGCAGAACGAGGCTCGATGGCAGGAGAGATGGCCGGGGGGAGGGACGTGAACGAAAGAATTGGCATGCGCGCGTGTGTGTTTGTGTGTGTGTGTGTGTGTGTGTACGTGTGCGTGTGCGTGTGCGTGTGCGTGCGCGTGCGTGCGTGCGTGCGTGCGTGCGTGCGTTTGTCGTGTGTGTGTATATGGCGCCCACCGGCGCCCACGCGAGTGCGTATGGCATCTCACGTCAAGCTGAAGAACACACATGAAGCATTTTGCTCGAGGCAGTCCACGGGCGCTTGCACTGTTTCCCCTTGCCCTGCGCCTCGCGCCTGCTGACGCGGCCGTCTTGGCCTGCGCGACGGCCCCCCGGACGCCGTCCCCGCCGCTCGCGGGCCACACCGGCTGCTCACGGCGGAAGTCTTCTGCCTCTGAGTGCTCGCCCTCCCACCCACCCCGCGGCCGCCCTGTCCTTCTTCCACCCTCCTCCTGCATGCCGGCCAATTCGCTTTGTAGTGCCCTTGCATCGCTGCCACGCTGGAGCGGATTGCCCCGCCTCGCCGCCGACGAAAAGTGTGTGTGTGTGTCTGTGTGTGTATGTGTGTCATGGTGCTAACATAACGGAAGAGGTAGGAATGTGACCGGAACCATGGACGTAAGTTTGATAGTTTTTTGGTCAGGTTTGCGCGTGTGTGTGTGATTTGATGGGCGCGCCAAGGTGCCAAGCCTTGCTGAAGAAGAGGGACCCGAACATAACACTGGGGAGGGTGGATGGGGACAACGAGAAGGAGGAGGATGAGGAGGAGCAGGAGGAGGAGGAGGAGCATGAGTGGGAGGAGGAGGAGGAGGAGGAGGAGGAGGAGGAGGAGGAGGAGGAGGAGAGGACTAACCCGCGGAAGTTATTCAGACCCCCCCTTCCGGCACAAGGACAAACCTTTCCCGCGCCGGAAGCGTGATTTTGGCACCTGGAGGATGATTGGAGAGGCCTGACGGCCGTTGCCGCCGACCCTGATCGAAAGGGCTAGGAGTGGGGGGAGGAAGCGGAGGAGGAGGAGGAGGAGGAGGCGGAGGAGGAGGAGAAGGAGGAGGAGCAGGAGGAGGAGGAGGATGAGGAGGAGATGAGGAGGAGGAGGAGGAGGAGGAGGAGGAGGGGAGGAGGAGGAGGAGGAGGAGGAGGAGGAGGAGAAAGTGCATCCTTTGTGTGCCCGCTCGAAGAAAGTGCGCCCTGGGAGTGTGATATTCTGACTTGGGACGTGCTCCCGGAAGAGGAAGAAGTGCATCTCGGGCGTGCCCGCTCGAGGAAAATGCGCCCTAGGGGGGTGGTATTTTGACTCGGGGCCCGCTCCCGGGACGCCTCTGCGGGAGGCCTCTGCGGGAGGAGGAGGAGAGGAGGAGGAGGAGGAAGGAGGAGGAGGAGGAGGAGGAGGAGGAGGAAGGAGGAGGAGGAGGAGGGGGAGGAGGAGGAGGAGGAGGAGAGGAGCAGGAGGAGGAGGAGGAGGAGGAGGAAAAGGAGGAGGAGAAGGAGGACCAGGAGGAGGAGGAAGTGCATCCCGTGCGTGCCCGCTCGAGGAAAAGGCCCCGGCGGGCGTGGTATCTGCCCCGGCCCCCCCCCCCCTCCCTCGCGGGGAAGGGATCAATGGTAAGGGGCTTCCGTTCGACTCCACTACGACGTCGTTTAATTTCAAAGAACAAGCCCTTCCCGCGCCGGAAGCGTGATTTTGGCACCTGGAGGATGATTTGGCTCTCGCATTAGCGCCGCGCATATTCGTTAGTTTCACGGATTGACGGCGGCTCGCTTTCAAAATGTGGATCTCGCCGTAGCGCCGCGCACATTCGTTTCAAACATGTGCAAGAGCTTCACGGATGGAGGGGGGGAACATTTTTTGGAGGGCTGCTTGGCACGATGCAAAAGATATCCTTCGGCGAAAATCCCCCTAGGTTTTTCGTGCGGTGCTAAGATGATACCCGGTGGCTTCATAATAACTTCCGCGGGCTCGGCGGGCTCAGGGGGGCATCTTCCGCATGATGCGGGAGTTCGAGCGCAGCAAAGAACGCAAGGTTTGACGAGGGAGGTGAGGAGGCGGGCAGTGCCCGCCCCGCAGAGGGGGCGGGGCAAAGAGCCGCAGCTGCGGCACAGTGACGCTGCGCGCCTGTCGTCGCCAGAGAGGTTTGCTTTTCCCCGTGCGTGGCGTGCGTCATGCAGTGCTCGGCGGTTTGCCAGACGCGACCTCCGCAGAGAAGGAGGAGGAGGAGAAGGAGGAGGAGGAGGAGGAGGAGAAGGAGAAGGAGAAGGAGGAGGAAGAGGAGGAACAGGAAAAAGAGCAGGATGTGGAGGAGGAGGAGGAGGAGGACGAGGAGGAGGAGCGGAGGAGGAGGAGGAAAAGGAACAGGAGGAGGAGGAGGAGGAGGAGGAGGAGAGGAGAAGGAGGAGGAGGAAGAGGAGGGGAGGAGGAGGAGGAGGAGGAGGAGGAGGAGGCGGAGGCGGAGGAGGAGGAGGAGGAGGAGGAGGCGGAGGCGGAGGAGGAGGAGGAGGAGCAGGAGGAGGAGGAGGAGGAGGAGGAGGAGATTTTCGTGCGTGGTGCCTGGGCGTGGGTGGGGCCGTCTCCCTCTCTCCTTTCCTCCTCTCGCTCCGCGGCCCCCGGGGGTTCGAGCCCTTTTCGGGCCTCCCCCTCCCAAGTGCCCTCCCTCCCGGGCCCGCACTTTGCACCACGCTGCGCAGGACAAGAGCGACGCGGCTGCGGGGCAGGGCGCCGCAGCTGCGGCACAGTGACGCTGCGCGCCTGATGTCGCCAGGAAAAGCTTCTCATCCCCGTGAGCGGTGCGC